GTCAGCAAGTTGGGCACCCCGCTGAGTGGCCTCCAGGGGCTACCGGAATGCACTCGCTGCGGCCACGGCATCGTGTGAGTACCCGCCCCCACCTCTCCCCGCCCCGGGCCGCGGCGGCCCCGCCCTCTTCCGGACTGGGGGCGGGGCGCGCCGGCGCCCGCCCGCCTCCCGACGCTGTCCTCTTCCGGCCTGCCACCAGGGGCACCATCGTCAAGGCGCGCGACAAGCTCTACCACCCGGAGTGCTTCATGTGCAGCGACTGCGGCCTGAACCTCAAGCAGCGCGGCTACTTCTTTCTGGACGAACAGCTCTACTGCGAGGGCCACGCCAAGGAGCGCGTCAAGCCGCCCGAGGGCTACGATGTGGTGGCCGTCTACCCCAACGCCAAGGTGGAGCTCGTCTGAGCTGCGCCCGGGGACTGCCCGCCCGCGCCCTGCTTCGCTTAGCGTCCTGGCGGGCCGTGTAAATAATGTGTGTGCCGCCTGCCTCGCCAATAAACGCCCTCTACCCGGCCCTCTGCTGCTGCAGGTCGTCAGCCTCGAACTTGTCTGCGCCCTGGCCTGCCTCCCTCCCGCACTGGCTATGGCTCCCGAGTGCCACACGCCTGTTTCTTGTCTGCTAGGTGCCAGGCACGTCCCTAGGCTCTGGGGACAATTGTGCACTAGGCAGTACGGGGCAGCACTCCCGGGGGGAAGGTGGCAGGCGAGGATCACAAAAACCACCTATGCCAGGAGGAAGGAAGCGCTGCCTGTACCGGCGAGATTAAGACAGGTGCTCCGAGAAGAGAAGTGGGCATCACGGGGGCCTGAGCCTGGGCGGGAGGAGGCAATGTGTCTGGGGAGAGCTCTACAGCGCGAGGGACGGTGGGGACCCTTTGCACTGAGCAGCTGCTCCTACCAACCGCCGGGGCGGGTCAGATCACAGAAGCCACCGCGGGCCGCACCCGCTCTTTTATTGCCCGGCCTTTACCCCTGGCAACCCACCGGGCCCTTTCTAGCCCCCTGCCCGCCCGCCCGCCCGTTTTTCGTGTCCCTTCCCCCGGCCTCCACTAGACGGCGCGGCCGGTTTTCCAATTAAAAAGCGAGTGAGGCCTGAGAAGGAAGGGGAGGGGAGAACGCAGGAGTGCAGGGCTGCCCGAATGCTCCCCCTTTCCAAGCCCTTCTCTCCAACGCAGAGGAGTAAACTCTCGGATCCTGCCTGACCGGCCTGCGCTGCGCCAGCCTTTGCGGCACCATTGCACACACCAGGACAGTCTTTCAAAACGTAGAAATGATGGGCAGTTGTTCACGTGTGGCTGCGACTAGCTATTACTATCCAACCACCCCTGGACTAGGAGCCCAGGTTTTTGCCTCTCTTTTTTTGGCCTCGTTTATTTCATCCGGGTTTCTTTATTGAGCCCCCAATAATGCCCCTTTTGTATTCCCACCCTACCCCGAAATGTTGGAGCTATCAGAAACCACAAAAGGCTGTTAGCAATTTAAACTCTCACCATCAGCACATGACAAAATCCCCTTTCCTCATACTCCTGCCAGTTCTTCCTCCTGGTGGCTAGTGTTGGGCTGCTAACTGCAAAGTCAATAGTTCAACACCACCAGCCGCTCTGGGGGAGAGAGACAGGGGCTTCTACTCCTAGGAAGAGTTATAGTCTGGGAAATTCACAGGGGCAGTTCTACCCTGCCCTACAGGGCCACTGTGAGTCAGCATCGACTCGAGGGCAGTGAGTGAGTTTGATTTGATTTCGTTTCTCTCATCACCAGTGATTGACAGTCAGTCATTCAGCAAATGTTTGTGGTGTGCTAGCTGGGGAACCTGGCACTAGGTGAATGAACTCGATGCACAGCTTCTTGTGTGAACTGCCCTAAACACCCCCATTTTTCTGAGATGTACTTAAATCTTCAGGACTGTAGGAACTCTCTTTTTGTAAGAACCTTTGTTACTGGAGCCACGCTGCTAACCACAGTAGTTTGAAACCGCCAGCCGCTCCACACAAGGGGCTTTCTGCTGCCGTAAAGAGTTCCAGTCTTGGAACCCACAGGGGCAGTTCTACCCTGTCCTCCAGAGCCACTATGAGTGACAGCCTCAGAAACCCACAGGAGCACTTCTACGCTGTCCTACAGTCACGATGAGTCAGCTTCGACTGGATGGGAGAGAATTTTGTTACCGGAGCTCTCCCCGGGATGCATTTCCTATTCTCCCTGGGATGCATTTCCTATTCTCGTGTCATCAGTCCTGTTTTCACTGCGGTGCGAATGTAAAAAAAAAAAAAAAAAATCCATCCCTCTCTCCCTATTCTTGGTCTGTAAGTATGCCAAAGCTATTCCAATACATTGCCCACTGTCAGAAGTTTGGACTCAATACGTCAGCCCCAGTAGGAGGGGGATCCTTTGAGCCAGGGAGTGTGACAAGGGTTGCCCTGGACCTGGTGACTCACTTGGGAAGGACTGGGCCATGTCCTTCCAAGGGTTGTGTGTTGTAATCTGCACTCACTCCCCATTTTTCCATCTTCTCATCCTTCCAGTATTCCTGATTGGCTTGGCCCCTGGAGGTTCCTTCCCAAAGCTCCTCTTCCCCTCTCTCCCCCACTCTGGGAGTCCTGACTCACCCACTCCTCCTCCAGGTGGGCCCTGTGAGCAGGTGCCAGGGAGGAGAGGAGGGAGCTGGAGCTCTGGGCCTGCACTCACCTGGCTCCAAGAGGGGACAGACCCTGAGCACAGAGACCCCACCTGTTGGGACACACACACACACACACAGCCCCAAGAGCAGTGGTTCTCAAGACTCCTTTGGGGATTGAAGGACCCTTTCACAGGGGTCCCCTGATTCATAACAGTAGCAAAATAACAGTGATGAAGTAGCTACAAAAATAACTTTATGGTTGGGGGGGGGTGTGGTCACCACAACGTGAGGAACTATATTAAAGGGTGGAGGCATTAAGGACGTTGAGAACCTCTAGCCCTAAAGGCTGCACCCCAGCAGGTGTGGCTGTGGAAAAATCCTCTCTGCCCCACCCATTTTCAGGGCAGAGGTGGGAGAGGGGACCAGCAGGCAGCGCATGTCCGCACGTGCAGATTCCCTCAGCCTCGAGCGCTTGTGTGTGCACTCACTCACTCACCTTCATCATCCTCTCCAGGCAAAGGAGAGACAAGTTAAGGGCCAGTGGAGTGGCCCTGGCATTGCCACATCAGCAGCTGCACCCACCCCTCACCCCACTCCCTGCAGGACAGCAAGCAAGGCAGGCCTTCCCTGAGCAAGCAAATCAGAATGGGTGGAAAAAAACAGAACCAAACACTGCCATCAGAGAGCCCATCCTGACCCATACCAACCCTATAGAGTAGAGTTCAACCCCATAGGGGAGAATTGCCCCTGTGGGCTTCCAAGACTGTTGCTGTTAATAGGAGAAAGCCTGGTCTTTCTCCCAAGTCATGGTGTAGAGTGAGGGAGGGTGTGCAGAGATGGGACTAAAGGAAGTGGCAGTCAGCCTAATTTGTCCTCTCCCTGTTGAAAGGCCTGACCCCCTCCACTGACTCCCAAGCCCAAGTCTGGTGAATCAGGAAAAAAACTTAGCAGGAGTTTCCTGCCGTCCAGGGTTCTAGCCTCTCTCCAGAGATTCCCAACTCAGTCTGAGTCCTCATGGTGGTTCCCACAGCAGGTCTTCACCCCAAGGGCCTTCAGGCCAGAAACTTGTACATCCTCCTCCAACCCTTCCCTTCAGCCACCTGAGCCTGGGACGGCCATCTCCTGAGCATTTCTAGGGCCAATTTCAGGGAAGCTGGGGGAATCTTTGGGAGAAAGATGGGAATTTCTACTCCCATAAAGAGTTCGTCTCAGAAACTTTGGGGGCAGGTCTGCCCTGCCCTATGGGCTAGCTATGAGTTAGCATCCACTCGATGGCAGTGAGTGTGGTTTTGATTGGGAGGAATCTTGCAGTCTCTTGCTGCACCCTCTCCATGGACCCGGGCCCTGATCCTAGGCCTAGTATTCAGAGGCTCTCTGACATTAGGTTCACATTCAACTTCTGGTTCTCACCTCCTCTGCTGCAGCCGACAGTTCACCATGTTATGGGCTATTCTAGTTTTTCATACCCCTCAGACCTTGCCATGCAAGTAAAAGTTTGCTGAAACTCACCCAACAACGTTGCAGCAGTCCATTGGCAGGGAGCTGCCAGGGCTCAGGCAGGATTCAGAAGAGGATGTAGAACGAGGGAGATCATTGTGCATGCCAGGTGGTCGTTGGCTGAAGGCAGAGAATACCAGAAAGAGGTTTACTTGTGTTTTAGTGACTATGCCAAGGCATGTCATGGTGCGGATCAGAACGAACTATGGACAGCCTTGAAAAGGAAGAGAAGCCTGGAGCACTTCCTGGTGCTCATGGGAACCTGTACACGGATCAGAGGCAGTCGTACTGGGGACAAACAAGGTACTACCGCATGGTTTGAGATCAGAGAAGGTGTGTGTCAGGGCTTTAGCCTCTCACCATGCATATGCAATCTGTATGCTTGAGCAAATCATCAGAAAAGCTGGATGATATGAAGAAGAATGCAGCATCAGCTGGAGAAAGACTTGTTAACAGCCTGCAATATGCAGATGATACAACCTTGCTTTCAGAAAGTGAGGCCGCCTTGAAGCACTTTCTGAAGCAGATCAAGGGATTACAGCCTTCAGTGTGGGTTACAACTCGGTGTCAGGACAACCACAATCTTCACAGCTGGACGAGTAGGTGTGGTAGTTACATCATTTCATGTAACCTGGAAACTATATTAAAGTGTAGGCATGGAGCTTACAGCCTGATAGTGACCCCTTGTGGACATGGCCTTCTCATAAGGAGGGCCCTGGGAACCTCCCAATCTCTCTGCCTCCACCTTCTTGCTGGCAGATGCTGGTTGCTGCCAGGGCCCCAGAGAGGCGTTCACCGCCATTGGCTCCACAGGACTTCGCGTGCACCAGCCATGATCTTCCTGCATTCGGCATCACTGCATGTGGCATAGTGAGTCTGAAGGGGACTTAGGGACTAATATCGGACTTATGGACTTGAGTTGTACTGGGCTGGGATGTGCTCTTGGTATATAACTGCTTCTTGATATAAAGCACTTTCTTACACACGGATGAATGTCCTTGGATTTGTTGCTCTAGTCAACCTAGCTCAATACAGTAAGTACAGATCGACGTTTTCAAGGCTTTTATCTCCCTGGGATCCATGATCGAGAGCCACGAAGCAGCAGTCAAGCAATCAAAGGACACCGTAAAGCTGCCACACAGATCTCATGAACGTGTTGAAAAGCAAGGGGGTTACTTTGAGTGCTAGCGTGCGCTTGACCCAAGCTATGGTATTTCCAATTGCCTCCTACGCATGTGAAAGCTGAAAGTTGGACATTGAATAAGGAAGGCCAAAATAAACTGGATGTGTTTGAACTATGGTGATGGTGAAATAGTAAAAGCACCAGGGATTGCCAAAAGAACAAACAAATGTGTCTTAGAAGAAGTACAGCCAGAATGTTCCTTAGAAGCAAGAATCTCAAGCCTCGTGACTCACGTACTTCAGACTTGTTGTCAGAAAACAATATGTCCCTGGAGATGGACATCACACTGGGTCAACAGCAGGAACAGCAGAAAAGGCAAGGCCTTCGACAAGATGGACCGAGGTAGTGGCTGCACCAACGGGCTCCACACAGCAGCGATCGGAGGAGGTGCAGGGCCAGGCAGGGGTTCCTTCTGTCGTCCAGAGGCTCGCCGAGTCAGCAGGGACATGATGGCACCTAACGACGATGACGATGATGACAGACCTTCTCGCAAGCTAGACATGCCTTTCCTTCTTTTCCTCCCCACCCAACAAACTCTTCTCACTCTTCAATGCCGGCCCCACCGCTCCTCTTCTCAATCCAAGCCCATTCCCAGGGTCCTTCCTCTCCCCACCACCATCCCTGTCCACTTCCTCGACCACAAGCTGGCCCACACTTGCCTCCCTGTCCAGGACCCAGACCCCAGGCGGGGCATTGGGAGGAGGGGTGCAGAGTCCACAGAGGTACCCAGGAGCCAACAGCTCCTGCCCTCACATCCGGGACCTCCCTGTCTCCCACCACCTTCCTCCGCTCCGCCAAACCAGAGTTCTGCAGGCATCCTGCCTGAGCCCCAGGGCGGGATGAGACCTTCAGAGCAACCCCTCCCTCCCGCAACTCCTCAGCTCCAACTCATCCCTTCAACGGGTCATCTGCAGGGAACCTGCTTAGCCAGACACTGGAATACACACAAGGAAGACCTTTTGAACAAACACCAGATACATTCTGATTAAAATCAATGCCATACTTAAAGTTCCACAAGCGGCCATCTAGCAGAGGAGACACAAGCCCACGTGGATGAAGCACACCAGCCTGTGCCATCAGGTGGTGTTGACTGGATCAGATAACAGGCATCAGAAGACCCAAAACAACACTTTAAATGACATTGTTGAGAACGAGGGGGGTCGGAGCAGAGCCCTAAAACCCATCTGTAGACAATAGGACATCCCCTCACAGAAGGGTCACCAGGAAGGGATGAGTCAACCAGGACGGAGTATAGCACCGATGAAGCTTCCTCACCCCCCCACTATCTATCATGACTCCAGTCCTGCCTTTCAGTTCTGGCTAGACGGGGGCATGTGCACTGGTGCAGATAAGCTCACGGCTCACGGAATCCAGGTCAGATAACCCCTCAGGAACAGAAATTCCCTCCTCAGGAGTAATGATACCAGGAGGGTAGGGGAAGGTGGAAGAAGGAGGGGTGGAAGGGGGAACCGATCACAATGATCGATGCATAACCCATCCCTCCCCGCCCCGAGGGGGATGAACAACAGAAATGTGGGTGAAGGAAGACAGCAGTTGGTGGAAGATGTGAAAAAATAATTTATGGATTATTAAGGGTTCGTGAGGAAGGAAGAGTGGGGGAGTGGAGGAAAGGGCTCAAGTAGAAAAAAATGTTTTGAGATTGATGATGGCAACATATGTACAAATGTGCTCAACACAATGGATGGATGGGTGGTGATAAGAGCTATAAGAGCCCCCCAATAAAATGATTTTTAATATATGAAAATAATAATTATAATTTATTAAGGGGCCACAGGGGGGAGGGGAAAAAGAGGCAGTGATACCAAGGGCTCGAATGGAAAATGCCTAGAAAATGCTGATGTCAACATATATACAAATATGCTTGATACAATTGATGGATGGATTGTTATGAGAGCTGTAAGAGCCCTCAATGAAATGATCTTAAAAAAATAAAATAAAATAAATGCCATAAAGAATATCAGCAAGGTAATCAACACACGGGTCCCCTTAATAGATAAGGGATCTAAATCCTGACAGCACGCCAGTCAGTGGAATGCTGTAAGGTAGCTAATAGTAGGAGATGAGATCACAGAGCTGTGGGGGCAGGAACAGAGACGGGGGTGGCCCTTGTCACCCACAGGAAGGACTTTGTTTTTACCCTAGACATGAGCAGCCAGAGGAGTGGCATAAGCTGAATTACGTTTTCACCTGGCTCCCTCTGGCTGCTGAGGGGAGCAAAGGTTGAGGCAGAGTAACCAGTTAGCAGGCATGATTGACTCTCTGATGAATCCCTAACTAGCTCCACATCCTGCTGCCCCCCAGCCCCAGCCCCTGCCCCTGCCCTTGCCCAAGGTCCATGAACTTCTGCCCTCATGGTGTAACAGCCTCCTCCCCAGGTTCCCGCCTGCCGGACTCCACACAACCGCAAAGGACGCTTCTTAAAACGCTACTCAGACAGCGGCATTCCCTGTGAGAAAAACTTCCCTGGCTCTCTGGATAAAGTCTGCTCTCCAGTCGGTGAGGACCTTGGACAGGCAGCCCTGTTGGCCTCTGCGGACCCCTGTCTCATGCCTCCATCACACCAGCCATGTCAACTTGCTACCGAGAACCCTGCAGCCCTCCTGGGCCTTCTAAGGAGGCTGAAACAAGGCTAAGCCCTTCCTGGTGGTTCTTTGCTTGGTGAGCCTAATTGTTCCTCACCTTCCTCCCTGAGAACTAAGAAGAGGGGAACAGGCAGGACGCTGCTTCCTGACCAGTGACCCTTCCACTCGGGTGGGGGGTGGGGGGCGGAGCAGTAGTCTGGCCCTGGCTCACAGCCTGGGTATAGCTGTATCTGGTGGGAAATGTTGTGCCCTGCAGTATGATGTCCAGGAGCCTGGGCTATGGGCTGGGAGGGACCCTCTGGCTTACTTCTGCCCCTAGGTCTCCCTACTGACCGTATCTGTACTCCAGCTCAGTCGCGGACAGCTCATTTTTACCCGGAGTGACAGCTTCTCGTCCTTGGGTCCCAGGTCAAGCCTTCACACTCTGGTAATTCCCTGGTTACTATTTTCCCACTCAAGAATCTGTTCTTTAAACAGCATTCACTCAATACCTCTGAACGGAAGTGAAACCTCTGACAAGGCGGAGGGAAGTCAAGGGGTCTCTAAGAAGCGAGGGCAGACTCTGGGGCTCCCCCTACCACATGTGGGAGTCGCTCTCTGGGCCCCACAGAAACCAGCCCTCCTCTTTGCTGATGTCTGAACTGACATGGACTCAGTTGGGACCAAAAGGCAAAGGTTAGACGTCCTGGGAGACGCTGCCAGAAGCCTCAGCCAACCCTGCAGGTTCGGGGGGGTCTCGGCCACGTGAGCTCAGAGACCTGACTGGTTAGTCCCATGAGCAGTTTTTCTCCACAAGCCAGACCTGGTTGGCCAAGTTTGGAGGCTATTGCGCCATGCCACATGGCAGTTGGTTCGCGGACAATGACAGCGGGGGAAGGACAGCCATCGTGCCCTGCAGGGTGTTCTTGGTCTGCAGGCACATCTTCCTGGGACTCTGGAGCCTGGCCACAGAGTCACAGGCAGCAGGGCGAGCTGGTTAATAAGTATACCGGGAGCCAACGTGTCTACAAGCCCTCCGTTCTCGTCTTTAATCCACACACCAATCTGAAGGGAAGGAAGAGCTGAGCACAGGCCTCAGCAAGGTTGGGGCACATGCCAGGCTTGCTCAATGCCTACCTCATCCCCATGGCAAGGGTACTAGTGACAACCGCAAGTACCTATCTTCTGGGCTGCCTGCCCTACGCGTAGCCTGGTGACTCTGACCAGGTCACCTGTGAGGGACAGCCAACTCATCTCTTGCTTGGCCAGGGACACAGAATCAGAGGGTTGGCTCAGATTTCCCAACAGAGGACTGGACTCCCAATCTTCCATGGGCTTTGGAAGGTTTTGAAGCTCAGCTGAGTCAAGGTCGTCCTGAAGCGCTGGGCAGGAGTGTCTACCGCCCCTGGACACAAGCAATCCCAGGCATGTTCCCATCCCAGGCCTGCTTGCCTTCTCCTGGGGTCAATCCTGATTTATACTAGATGAATTGCCCCACTGCTCTCCACCTGTTAGGGGTTCCTGCAGCTGTTGAGAGAGTCCGGGGTGGCCAGCCTGTCATACTTTCCAGACGGGCTTTGCGTCCTGTTTACTCCTGCCTGTTCCAGGGTCATTCATCTCCTTGAGGCTCAGACTTAGTTTCCCCCACCCCCATATGCTCATTCTTGGCTTGGGTGGTTTAGGCTGCCTGATAGCTAATAAGGAAGACTGCAGGCGTTTGGTGCATTTGCATTGCGGTGCTGGTGAAGAATCCCCAAAGTACCACGGGCTGCCAAAAAAACAGACAAATCGTCCTTGAAGAAGTGCAGCCAGAATGTTCCTTGTTATCAGGAACGACCAGTCCCTCGGGAGGGACATCATGCTTGGTAAAAGTCGGGGGGCATCTGGACAAGACGGACTGACACTGTGGCTGCAGCATGGGCTCAGATTCAAGAACAACGATGAGGACGGCCAGGCCCAGGGTAGCCATCCCTTTCGTTGTACCTAGGGTCGCTGTGAGTTGGAACCAACCTGGCCACACCCCCAACAATAGCGCCATCCTTCTGAACTCCCCCTCCCTCCTTTTGTGGTCTTGTCTCCGTCTCACCGGACTTGATCTTGGGGGACCGTGATCAGGGGTCACTCTGGCCAGCCATGGGGAAGCTCCTCCCTTAGAGCCTCCGTCTTAAGCAAGGATTCAACTGTCATCCATCCACTTCCAGCGCCCAGAAACTGCCTCCTCAGGAGACAGCTGAGCATCGTACTGAATAGTCCGTTTTCCCATCAATTAATTCGGCCAGTCTGCTTGAAACCAGGAACCTTAGTGACCTTGTAACCTCCTCTCTAGTGACACTGTCTATGAGCCTTAGGAATCCGTCATCATTCCTAGATATATTATCTCCAGACCACACCTCAGACTGTCTGTTCTATGGTTGTAGCCACCTGAACACTTCAAAGGCGGCTCAAATTCAGGGTCTCCCAGACCCACCTCGTCATCTTTTCTAACCTGATCCTACTCATGTGGCCCCACCTCAGACAAAGACACTATCAGCCACCGACCTACCTAGCTCTAGTCCACCAAATTAGACGTCTTTGCTGCCTCCGACCCATCTCCCACCCTCACATTCAGTTGGTCATCAAGAGTTAGCACCTTCTCAATCACTGTAAAAGTAACTGTTTCTTGGCCACCACCTCCCATCTAGACCCCTATCATGAGTTCCTTCTTTGTATCTCTGTTTCTGAGGAGCCCTGGCAACGTACTGGATTACTCACTGGCCTGCTGACCGCAAGAGTTCGAAACCCCCAGATGCACCGAGGAAGTAAGACGAGGAGTGCTACTCCCGCAAGAGCCACAGTCTTGGAGACCCACAGGGGCAACTCTACCCTGTCCTCCGGGGTCACGACGACTCAGAATCGACTTGAAGGCAGTGAGTTTGGCTTTTTGGATGTCTGCTTCCATCCTAGAGGATCCCTGGAGGTGGGAGTTACGCTTTGGGCTGCTAGCCACCAGGTCAGCAGTTCGAAACCATCCGTTGCTCCATGGGAGAAAGATGAAGCTTTCTACGCCCATGAATAGTGACCCTCTTAGAAACCCACATGTTCTGCCTGCTCTGTAGGGCTCTGTGAGTTGGAATTGACTGGCTGGCCCTGGGTTAGTTTGGCGTTTCCGTCCCGGCTGTTGCTCGTGCATTCTCATCTCGGCCACCAGAGGGGTCTTCCTAAAACACAGACCTCTTCAGGCCGGGCTCTCACTTCCACTGGCCTCGCGCTTCAACCTGGATTCATTTCACACTTAAGAACT